ACCGTGCGCGCTCATCGTGAGTTCCCATTGAAATCGCTCGCCGAGTCTTCCCAGTTATTTCGAGCATCGCCGAGATCGATCCCGCGGCGAACACGCGCGGCCGCTCGGCCATTTTCTTTTCCGATCTGCGCCAGAGGAGACGTATAATATTTATTCGATCGACCGTACGTCGTAATGTTTGTAAATTTTGCTTTGTAAGACTGTGTACATATATATATTATATATATAAACCGCGATCTAGCGACTTAGCGCACGTTAATTACGGACTCGGACGGATCCAACGGTAAACGGGTCCGTGCGTGGAACGAAGAACCGCGCGCAGAAATGATCATATTCGCTCGACAGAGCCGAGCGGAGACGCGAACGCGGGGCCACGTGCAAAACTTCTCACTGGCGTTCTCGGTTCGATCGGTTTCCTTCGACCACACGCATACGCGGTTACTCCGCTGTCGTACAACGAACGCATTTTCTCGTTTCACGTATACGAGGAGCAAAATAGCCGAGCGTCGCAGGGGAAAATCCCGGCCAACGATCTTCCCTGCTCATTTTCTACTCATAGCCGAGCTAACGATACTCCATCGGATAGCCCGTGTCGGGACGAAAGAGGCAGCAGGTCCGAGAGAATCGCGGGAACGTGTACCTTGGAAATTGGAGGATCGGCGAACAGGAAATGAGGAAACGCTAGTCTATAGCTCGCGGCGGCCCGAGATGCTATCGCTTTTAATTACGACTCAGCCCCGTCGATTGGATTCCGCGATCGTCCGAACGCGTGCCGGCGATCCACGCGAGATAGAATCGGAGCACGTGCCATCTTCGAGCGAGAATGTAACCGTGAATCATATCCGTGCCATCGTTATCTCCATCGTCGCCCGCAACAGCGGAGGAAACCTGCGTACACCGTTGAATCCTGCGTTCAACGTCGTTCTCGACATCACGCCGAGAATCATTTCTTTAAATCATTCCGCGCGAACGTAGCTTCCCGTTCAAGCCTACCTTGGTGTAAATAATTTCTACCTTAGCGTCGACGATGAAAATGTCGGCATCGATTCACGAGCGACAACGGTGTACCGACACGGTTCCTCCAATTCCCGGAGTACTCGTAGCGAGAATCGACTGCGTGTTTCTTCCGTGTGTTGTCCGCGAGAACACGAGAGAAAGAGAGAGAGAGAGAGAAAGGGATCACGCGAGACACACGCACACCCTTCGGACAGCGTTCGTTCTTCCGCACCGGTTCGATTTCCCGTTGCGAATCCAATCGCGCGCCTCGCCGTTGCACGCGATCACAGCCAGCAGGAGTTTGCGGTGATCTATGGATCCGCGACTCGCACCCTATCTCACATAGGTATCTAAGGGCTACGTGTCTAAGTATGTATGTATCCGTAAGTTGTGTGTTAGAGCACGTCGAGCGTGGGACATAGTGATATGTTAACGTTGACGAGCGCGAAGCGACAGAGACGCCTCGAGCGCGTCGAGCCACGTCGACGCTGGCCGCGCACGTTAACCCCTTGCGGTCCTACGACTTCGTTCTAATTTATTTCCCGCCGTACCTCCGTCATCCGACGCGTCCGTAGATTTCTATTCCGCGGGACATCGTCGAGCTTCGACGTCCGAACGCTCGAGGCCTCGCGCGTTTCGCGAAAGCAGGCTTTCAACGAGCTTCGTACAGCCTTAGAGGACAGCCGTCAACCGGATTCATTTCGTCGGACGGACCGGATTCCGTGTCTCCGCGTTTCTCGCGACTTTGGTTCTACTCGTCTTTCCGCGGGTGAAAGCGTTCGTGGTACTTTTCGATTGCACCGTGCGTGTTTATTGTAATCTTGTAAATAATCGCGTGAGAGAGAACGAGATCGCTCGGTTCCACTCGACGTCGTTTCCATCGTCCGCCGAGGCGACTGCAACGGGTTAAAGAGCGCCGGAGACGTCGCGACGTAAGATACACACACCCCGCCGAGAAATTCTAGTCTTATAGCGTTAACGCACCGACCGATGCATTGCCGAGCGAAAGACGCGACGCGCGCGATCTACGTTGCCTTCCGGCCGAGGTTACACGAATTATCCTGGAATCGTCGGGCGCGGACGAAGCGGGACGGAACGGAGCGCCGCGGATGAATCGCCCCCGCCCGCGGCCCGTTCAACTTTCCTCGTGATCGGGGAGCGGAAGAGAGACTCCCCTTCCTCGTCAGCGGGATGGTGGAACGTCAGACGAATCAATCATATCGAGTTACCGTGAGTGAGACACCGCGCTAACTATTTATTATCAATCGTACGCCGGAGAACCTCGTCCCCAGTGAACGTCCCTTCGTTTCCGCGGACGATCGCGAGGACCTCGCGATCCCGCGGACAGGGGAAAGTCGCGCGGGCATGGGGAATGAATAGTATTTACGATAGAAAATAGTGGAGAGCTTCTGAGTAGCCGTGTCGCGCGGATATTGTCGCGTGCGGCGTTTCTTCGCGCGAGAAACGGAAAACAAATGACGTTTCCAGACTTCGAATACAGTGATCGCGTTGACACATTTGCTACCAGCGTTGTATATTTCTGACGGTTGTAACTCTGCATTTTGCACAATGAAAATGAAGTGAATTCTATAAACATTGTTATTAGATATTATAAACTACATTATATTTAGGAACTCAGTAACTCGTTTCAGTTTCATTTTTCTAGTATTTTCTTTAGATTCATTGGATGAGAATATTATAATTTATGAGACTGTCACCGAAATTAGCGCTGGTAGTGAATGTGTTAATGAACGAGCTAAGCGCGAGAACCGGAAGAAAGATGTTTCCAGACTTCGAATACAGTGATCGCGTTAACACGTTCACTACCATCATATATTTCTGATGATTGTAACTCTGCATTTTGCACAATGAAAATGAAGTGAATTCTATAAACATTGTTATTAGATATTATAAACTACATTATATTTAGGAATTCAGTAACTCGTTTCAGTTTCATTTTTCTAGTATTTTCTTTAGATTCATTGGATGAGAATATTATAATTTATGAGACTGTCACCGAAATTAGCGCTGGTAGTGAATGTGCTAACGAACGAGCTAAGCGCGAGAAGCGTCGCAGGTGTATTTGGTTGCTGTTCGAATGAATGTTCGCTTGCCGCGATTGCAGGACAAGAGAAAAGCGAAACCGCCCCGATATCACCGTCATACACTATCGACGTACAAACAAATGATCGTTACAGTTACTATTTTTTACTTAGAATACTATTTCCTCCAGCTCTGGCCCAACTGTATATATACGTGTATCCAGGCATCGTTTCCACTTCTTTTCTCGACCGAGACTTTCAACCCTTGGCCAGCGAACGCTGAGTCGTTCGTTAACACGCTCCATGCCACGTGTGCCATTCATGGTACAATTTTTCGAAGGAAACTTTTGCCAGACACGTGTCGAAGCATAATGTTACATATCGTGGAACAACAGAAACGTAAAGGAATAATATAAAAAATATTAGAAATCAGTGAAAGCTTGAATGTCGCTTAATCTATCATTTAACGCTAGAACCACTGGATGGGTCAAAATGACCTGACCTCATTTTTCCAGTTATTCAACAGATCACAGATGCTTTGAAAAAGTACTAGAGAAACTGGTTTAGCAGTGCACAAAGTGAATTGCAAGCTGAAGTCTCAATAACTGCACTGTTGAAGTTTCCACAGAACAGTTTAACTGCTCGGTGGTTCTAGTGTTAAAGAATCAGTGCATTGCAAGCAAATATACCCGAAATTTCCATTGGCATGGACCATGTTAAAGATCATCGCGTATCATTTACAAGAATATCTCGAACTTTAACCCTCTGCACTCCGTACACCTCTGTCGCCAATTGAATCGACACAGCAAATTTACAGAGTTTGATACTTAATATTAAACTTACAATGCATCGATACATAAAATATCAAAAGTACTTCCGTTCCTGAATTTACATGCGACACTCGTCAACGCAGTTCAAAAGAATGCCATTCGCATCTCAGCTGTTGAATATTTCTAGAAAACTTCTAGAGTGCAAAGGTGTAAATTACGTGTCATTGAGAAATCCAAAAGTGAAACTATCGATTTACTCAGCGTCCATCTTGCATCGAGGTGCCTCGCTCGCAAGGGTTGAACGTCCTCCGAAGACGGCGGCGCCGGGCGTCGTTTCCCTCGACCCGGTTTGTCCGCAAGTTGGTTGCTCGCTCGATCATTTCTCGCCGATGATTTCGCCGTTGAAAGTTCAGGGACGCGTTTCTCGAGTCAACTTCCACGGTCGCCGGTGGAAGCGTGACGATTCCCCGACGCGATCGTGGAAGAACGAGTCAGGAA